TCATGTTCTTGATGAAGTCGCGGTGGCCGGGGGCGTCGATGATGGTGATGTAGTACTTGGTGGTCTCAAACTTCCAGAGGGAGATGTCGATGGTGATGCCGCGCTCCCGCTCCGCCTTCAGCTTGTCCAGCACCCAGGCGTACTTGAAGGAGCCCTTGCCCATCTAGGGGGCGGGCGTGGCTCAGGGCCGGCTCAGCGCCCAGGTCCAGCCCTGCCACCGTGGGTGGCGAGCACGGGGTCCCGGCTGCAGGCTGGCCACGACGCCCCAGGCCCCAGCTGGCCCCGCAGCCCCGGCCCCGGCCCCAGCAGAGCCCGCGGGACCCCAGAAAGGGAGGCGCCGTGCAGGGAAGGCCCTGGCTCTCCAGCTTCCTGCGCTGGGCCTCGGGGGCGCTCCGGGCCACCCCTCCCCCACCAGGAGGGCAGCGGGCGGCTGGCAGGAAGCCAGTGAGACCCCCATACTGGGAGCGCTGCCAGGGTTGGGCCCAGGGCCGGCGCTGCCCAGGGTGGCTGCAGGCCCCCCACACCCCAGCAGGCCCGCAGGCCAGTCCCGGTGTCCAGGTGGGAGTCCCCAGCCCCTCCCCTGAGGACGCCTCCTGGAACTGGGGGCAAAGACGCCCGAGGCAGGCCGGCCGGCCACTCCGCGCCCCCAGGCCGGAACCCGCCTGTGCCGCCCTGGACAGGCGCCCTCCCCCCCGGCTCAAAATGGAGCGGACGGCGGGCGCCTGCCAGCCGGCTATTAATAGCTGCCCTGCCCGGCCCTGGCCCTGGGGGGCAGTGCCCTCCGGCCAGTCCTCAGGCCAGGGGCCGCAGCCCCCAGGCCCGGGACTCTGCTCAAGGAGCAGGCCCCCCCGCCCGGGCAGGGCAGAGCCCCTCCAGGCCGCCGCCTGCACCGGCAAGCCCAGGCTCCCCAGCTGCGCGTCCACGCTCCGGGCGCCTCAAGCCCTGGCGCGGGGGTCAGCTGGCCGCCCCCACTGACCTCGGCCGCCTCCTTCTCAAACTTCTCGATGGTCCTCTTGTCGATGCCCCCGCACTTGTAGATGAGGTGGCCCGTGGTGGTGGACTTGCCCGAGTCCACGTGGCCGATGACCACGATGTTGATGTGGGTCTTCTCCTTCCCCATTATGCAGGGTGGGG